AGGCCGAGGTGGGCTGCGGGTTGTCGGTGCGTGGGTTTGCCCCCAGGACACTTCGGCGCTGTGCGGTTCCTCGAGTTTTCCGGCATTTCTCAGCCGGGACACAGCGCCGTTGCCTGCGCCTGACCCGCGTTCCCTGCCGCCATGGGCTGCGCCCCGTCCCCCGTGCCCACCGGGCCGCGGGGAGCCCGTCTGGCGGGAGGTCAGGCCAAAGGTGGGTGGAATAAGTTTAGTCTGTTTTCCCGCTTTCTGGAAATCATTCCCTAGGTGGTTTCAGTTGCATTAGACATTTAAAACCTGAGTTTTCCTACATGTGGCAAAGGGACCCTCAAGAAGAAATGCTTGTGGCAATCTTTATAGAGAAATGACAAGAGATGTTGTTCTCTTTTTTTTTTTTTACCCCCGTGAGCTTTTTGAGACCACATGGAAGCAGCTCCCTGTCAGATGTGACGTGAGAAACACAGGTGTTGATTCAGCGAGGTCTTGACTCGCACCTACCTCCTAAGACATAAGTAGAAACTATTTCAGTCACATTAACTTCAAAGCCATTATTTTAATCCTTAAACACTTGGCTATATCAGGGCCTGACTTCCTTTGGAACAGTGGCCTTGAACCTACAGACGTATCTGACTTAAATCGCGTACCTGTTTTGTAGGACTCACTTTATATGAGGTTTTAGGCTTGGAAATGGAAATCTGAACACCTGGATCTGTTTCACAGTCAATAGACTTTACCTCTTGGAAATTGTTCTGCTGATACTGGAATGCTTTCGGTGACAATATTGGATATATATGTATATGTGGGATTAAGGCTTTAGCAAATGAATGTATTTTCTAGCTTGTGAGATAGGACAGCTGTGTAGTTGTGACCTTTTTCACTCTATACATACTGGTTTTGGTTTGGGAATACGATTCCTAGTTGCTCTGGTCATGTAGGCAAATAATAATCTGTATACTTGTAGTTAGACTATACAGAGAAATAAAAATGTTTGCTGGCTAATTTGTGACTGATATTTTGCCTTCACTTAATGAATAAACTGATCACACAAGTTTTTTTTTCCTTTTACTGTGACCTGGGTCGTCACAGTTTGGTCGCTTCTGGGCAGAGGTTGCTGGAGCTGAGTGCTGCTGATTGGGCTGCTTAGTCAAGGCAGAAAGTGCAGAGTCCGGTCTCCTGACACGCTGGAATAAAGTTTCTCTGGTCACAGCGCTTGCATCCACTTTCTTGCTTGCCGTGGCTACTTTCCCTTCTCTCCCACCTTTCTTAGCCTTTCAGCACAGAAAGCAGATTAATTAAAATACAAAGCCTCTACATTATGCGCACGTCAAAAGACAGGAATGAAAAATGGTGGCTCATCTGTGACCTATGGAAACTGCTCTGTTCAGCAGACCTTTATATAGTCTCCCCTTCCTCTGTCCTGTGCCGATCCCGCATGATCTGATTGTGCAAGCCCAGTGTTACTGGTACGAGTGGTCTTATATTCAGGTGAAGCAATTCATGTGAGGAAAGTTAACTGTGTGCCCAAGTCTCCCCTGAACCGTCTGTATTGTTGACAAAAGCCTAACTTAGAGATGCACAAGCTGCATTTAAAGAAGGAGTAGAAGCAATAAACCTCTGTGTCCAATTTAAACATCCAGCTTCCTCCTTTTGCTTCTTTTTTAAAGCTACTAGCGTAAAAGTAATTGTGTTTGAGGTGAAAAATGCAATGAAACTGTATTCTGTCTTGGGATTTATAAATGCTGCTTCCATTTCAATAACAACAGTAACAGTATCGACTGAAGAAAACGCTGGCGCTGCTTATTTTGAAACTGAGGGGTTACAAGAGCTAGTGTGCACTTTGGATATTACGCTCTAACCGTTGCAGCCTCCCTGCTGACTTCTGTTCGTTTGAAATCATTTTTATATTTAAAAAAACCCACACAATCCTGTTGCTCTGGAAGAGATAATAGTGGTAGATTTCCTGTAAGAGATGATAATGAAAGTGATCACGAGGCCTAAAGCAAACAAACAAAAATGTAGCTGTTCCCTCTACCTCTAATCACTCTCCATTACAGTCATTTTAGCTGAGACTTTTAACAGCTTTAGAAGAAAAACCCTGGGTGTAGATAAGGTACTTATTAACTTCATGACATTTTTAGAACTCTTTGATGCAGCAACTCTTAACAGTGAAGTCATCGTTGTGTCATCTCAGAACATCTGTACGTGGTTGGTGTTTTAAGCTAAATAAGGCCATTCAGGAAGGATGGTTTACAGATGTTTTTTTCCTTTTATTTACATGAAAGGTGAAAAGCAGGTTAATTTGTCATTTATACTCTGTGGTTGTGTTAGAATTCAGTTACTCCTGAGTACCAACCGACAGACCTTTTTGCTGTCGTAGCTGCAGTCACAACTTTTGAGTGACTACACATCTGGAGGGCATTTCCTCTGCTGCAAGTATATTCTAAAAACCCCAGATCTGGCTGATTTTACTGGCAGGTGTCCTTTGAGTCAGCATTTTGGCTGCCACTGAAGGAGACAACGCTCCAGATAATGACTTATGGGTTTGACAGAAGGCTGTGTGAAAGCCAGGCACCTATGTAAGCACTATTGATTCTGTGTTTACAGCCTGACAGTGTGTAACTGAGAACAAAATTTTGTCTGTTAGTGTAAAGTCAAGTCCTTGGCTGGCATAAAATGAGACCAGAATTGGAGCAAACAGAGTGGTGTTTAGGTGCCTGATATAAAATCTTGGCAACGGTAGAGCTGTTGTTAAAACCTTAATGTTTTAAACGTGGCTTGCAAAGAGGATTTGGTACAAAATTGGGCCTGTTCCCTTGTTTGTTGCTGTCTGATTTATAGAGAACTCTCAAGATACTCTATTTAAAAAGCTTTTTGTTCAGTTTTGTGTTGGAGATTCAGAGATTGCTGTCTTGGGAAAACTCAAGTTTCAAAAGAACTCGTCAAGTTTTGACATGATGAGAGAAGTCTTTTGAAACTTTATTTGAATCTGGATTGTTTAAACCTCTTTAAAGTGTATTTTAAGTTCATACGCCATTAGGTGAAGGGCACCCGTGTTAATAAATCTAAACTTCCTAAAGAAAGAGGCAAGAATTCCACAAGACACCTCTGCAATCCACAGGAAGTCCAGGGCAGATGAGATTTGACATTCCTCATATGGCTAAGGTTAAAAACATAAAAAGCAGAATAAATATTTAATTAAAAGAATTTATTTTTTTTTAAACTCCCTTCCGATTTCATTGAAAAACTTTCACACATAGGAAGGACATACTTGGAAGTGTGTTCAGAGAGTGTTCAATGCTTTGGATGATAAACCTCCTTCTGCTTCTGGCAGAGTATTTGGTTCCATTGACAGCAGTAGTAAGTGTGCTGTGGCTTGGCATGGAGGTAACTTTAGGGAAAGGATCTCTGATCAGTTTTGATTTCCAGTCTATTGAAACCAACTGTTTATTTCATTACATGTGCTGTTCTCTTGTGCCCCAACAGAAGCCGCTCAATGTTCCTGTTGGTGCTTGAGCACTATAATATGATCCTGGCATTCCTCTTGCAAAAATGTCATAAAAAATTTCCTTGGGTGGGAATCCAGAGGAAGGTGTTGCCACCATGGTCCAGTGGATCTGAAGCTGCCAGGAGAAGAAAATGCATTGAGTAAACTGCAGCAGCTGCACCCTTGTTGCATTTTCCTCCCAGAGGAGCCGTGGGTGGTTCTGACTGTTGGCAGCTCTCACAGGTTAACATTGTGATTCTCTGTCTACTTTAACTGGTTATGAAAGGACAAGTGGTTTTGTTTCCAGTGGGTTTTCTGTGAGAAAGCTGAGATACTTTAGCTAGTGTACCCTTTCTGCTATTTGACAACAAGACTGGCAGTCAGACAGTCAAGACCAGAAGGCAGCTGAAAGAGGTCATGTGCTCCTTTAACTTGCTCAATCCTGAGAGGTGTTTGTCTAATTTTCCTCAAGGACCTTCACAGATGGAATGTGTGATTGGCCCAGCAGTCTGCTCCAGCAGCTTCTTTTTGTGTTTCAGGCTTTGATCTAGTTCCCTGGTTGGCTCTTACAAAGCTCATGTTGTCCTTGCACTCAAGCAATCTCCTTCTTCCTTTCGTGGTCTGTTTCAGCTATTGTCTCTGCCATTCCTGGGGTTGTCCTAAGACAAAGGAGAGATGGATAGGGCTTGGTGTGAATTGTAGTAAACAGACCTTTGCTTCAAAAGAAGCCATGATGAGAGATCGTGGATCGTCTCATCTGCCCTGCTGGGTAGGACAGCACCTTCAACTCCTGTGAGTGAAGTCTGGTTTTGAATGAATCCCCATCTTCTATTCCCAGAAATGCTGTGTTCCTGGCATTTTATCCGCAGTGGCCAGTGGCAGGTTCTTTGGGGTACAATATAGGAAGCAGGCAGTGTCCAAGTTTGTATTGTTGCAGAGTAGGAACAGTGTTGGGGTAGGGTCTGTCTTGTGTCCTGATGAAATGGGAGTCTTTGCACTGACTTTCTTGAGCTTTGATCTGGATCCTCGGAGATGGTCAGTTAAAAGTCTTTGTGTCACTGCCTGAACTTTGCATGTATTTTTTTCCCTAGGCAAATTCAGAATACGCACACGGGACTGGATTTGTCAGTGCCGGAATACCAGGAAATCCGTGGGAAGATGATGTCTGGCCACGTAGAGTATCACATTGTCGTTGTTACTCGACTGGCTGCCTTCAAATCAGCAAAGCACAAGCCTGAAGATGTAGTTCAATTTATGGTAAATATTTAATCAGTGCTGTGTTAGTGATCACTTTCTTAATCAGCTTTGATTATTTTGGTCCTGATGTAGCAGATACTTTATCATCACAGCCTCCCCTGGTGGAGGTCCTTGGTAGGACAACAAAGTCTGTACCGTTTCTGCAATAGGAGTATTATACATATATTAATTGAACTTTTTATTCCAGGAACTCAAAGCAACAATGACTGTTTATCATTGCCTTTAAGGCATTTTGCATTATGGGTCAACAAATAGAAACCAATTAAGCTTTCTATAAGTCCTGCTACAAAATTAGTTTCTCTTATATATGTAGTGGCATTGGGATTTGGTACATAAACATGAAATAAATATACAATAATTTACTTGAATGGAGGGAGAACCATGTGTGGCAGTAAGAGGAATTAACCTTGCGGTAGGTTGGCCTTGACCTGTTAGCCTTGGTCTATTAGCCTTGACATGGTTTTTAAAATCCTGGGTAAGAGAGTTTTACAAGGAAGTGTTCATATAAAACATTATTGAGTTGGATTGTCTTTTTCATGATACTTGCGGAGTAAAGGTTTGAAAACATAGCACATGAGATTCATTTCACAGAATCACAGAAGATTAGGGATTGGAAGGGACCTCACCTGTTTTAAGTCATTTATAGCGTGTGCACGTCCACTTGAGCTGTCTCACCTGGGAATGGCTGTTGAGTTGATTGAAAAAAATGCTTTTAGGGTACGTTTAGTTTGATCTGCTTTAGCTGTCTGCTGACCCACTCCCAAGAAGTGCGTTTCTCTGTCCATTAACTATAACGAGACTCTAAGGGAAGGCACCTTGTTGCATGCTGTGAACATCTGCTCTCTTCAGATGTTTTGGGGATAACTATAATGTCAGAGTGATATGAGTGCGTGGTTACCTGGTAGACCATTAGCTCTAGTGTAACTCACACTCCGTAGCAGATAGCTGATAAATGGATATTTACACAGTCCTGATTTGCAGATAAAGCCACATCTGCCAGTGTTGTGAAGAGGTGCATAGTGAGGAAATTTCATACATTTATTGCACTCCTTGTGCTATATATAACTTCATGGTAAAAGCAGCAACGCTGGCATAAGGGTCTGTTCTGTTCTCCCTCCTCGTCCCTGACCGCTTGTTCTCACTCCTGCAGTGCTTCCTTCTGTGTTCCAGTGTCATGTGGCTATTCTGTAATGTCAGCTGAGGAACTGGTCCTAAAAATGGGTATTTGGGGGATTTTATTTAGTACTAATTTACGTCTGTTTCTTGAGCCTGGGAGTTGCACAGCCCCATTAAAATTTGTTTTAGGACAGGGGAAGGGCTGGACATGGGCATATAAAAGAAGGGGATGTGGAACAGCTTTTTCTGCAGCAATGCCTGCTTATATTATGTAATATTTCCGTGCAGCTCAGTGCAAGAAAGAACCTGACTAAACCCGAGGTGTTAAGCTGAACTATTGTCAGCTAACATTTTGCTTCACTTAAGAAAAAGTAGATTAAATCAGCTTGTCTATAAAAAGGAGAAACAGGCTTCCTACTGTGGCCTCCCTGCTCGTTGAGATTGTCCGTTCCCATGTTTGCTCTCTGTAGGAGGATTTTCAATACTTAGTTGCTTTTCTCAAGTGAAATGAACCTTTCTGATTTCCTCTCTGGTCAGACCTCCTGACATTTCATTCTTCATGAAGAAGAAAACTGGTGTAGTCGGAGGGGAATAACGTTTATCTCATCAGATACATTTTCTTCAGCTGACTAAGTCTGATATATTGTATAGTTTGGTGTATGAGAGTAATTTAAAACCCTGAGCTAGGAGGTTCAAGGATGGATGCTTTGCATCGATTCATTCTGATGAGTCTTTTCTGTATGTATTACTGGAAGGAACAGAGGGACTGACCTGTCCTAACTTATCTCTCTGTAACTTGGATATTTTAATCTGAGTCTGTCCATGCTTTTGAGGTCAATGAGTAGAAGGGGAATGAGGTGACTCATCCTCTTGAAATGCCTCTCTTCTTTGATGTTAGAGGGAAAGCATTCTACGTTTTAGACAGCTAGGGTGGGCTTCAACTCCAGGCTAAAATGCTTAAGGCTCAATTGCATTGCACACAACTCACTGTCTGTACTGCCCTAGTGTTTTCCACCTAGCCTTCAGAAGGTTGTGGGTCTCCCATAGGTCATGTGTGATATTTGCCTGCCCCACACAAGGCCTTTGTATACTCCAAAGCATCTCAGATGGCATGATATGACTGTCTTTAGGCAGAACAATCTGTTCTCTGATTAGACGTCTGCATTTGCTGCGGATTTCTAAGCTCCCATCCCAGTCAGTGCGGTACTGTTGAGAAGAATGTAGTTGAGCATCTACAGTGTTGGGGAATCCACTTTGCTAAATTTACACGGCTGATAGCATTTGAGAAACCCTAAGTTATCCCAGATGTCTGTATAGGGTCTGGCAGATGTGACACCAGGCATAGAGGTGTTGGCACATTGTCCTGGAACAGAGCAAGGTGAGGAGATACTGTAGGCCATCCAAGGTACCAGTAGCTGCCTGGTTTCAGGTGAGTTGAGTTTCAGTCACATCTTGCCAAAATGTAGTGACTATATCTGACTGTCATGAGAGCTGAGACACCTCTTGCATGTAGGCAATTTTCTTAACCTGGAGGCAAATCCCAACCCTATGGCTGCCAGGTGAGGTGAGTTGTGCCCGTAGTGTCTGTGTAGTGCCCTGTTCTGCTGGATGTTGTACCAACACACACAAGAACTGTGACCCTTCTCCGGAGACTTTGCAGGTGATGTGTAAGAGAACCAGGTGACTGGGGAACAGCAGAGAAGAATGAGGTTATGTTGGGCAGCAGGTCAAACACATCAAATTTGTATAGAGAGGGGGAGTGAGATGAGACGTGCGAAGGAGGAAAAAGAAACAACTGTGTGCCTGTTCTACCTTCCCAAGTGCGTGAGCAGTATGGGAGAGGGAGCTGATTTTTGTTCTTGTTGAATTTATCAAATTTGAGAGGCTGGAGGAAGGAGCCAATGTCACAGTGCTGAGATGACAGGTAGGTTAGAGAAGACGCGTGCCCGTAGTAGGTTTTTTATTGGTTCTAGTTATGTTAATTCAATTTTGGCTGCCTCAGGAGCCAGCTCTGTGTTTTGAGACCCTTTGTCTTTCTTTTTCTTCCTTCTGCTTTCCCTCTTTATCTCCCTGAAATATTAGCTAAATTGATTTTCCTTGTCTAGGTGTTCTTCCACCTGCTTCCAGCTGCAGTGACTGCCCTCCCTGCTCTCATGCTCTGGGTGGCAGCAGCAGAACTGGCTTTATGTGCGTTGGGCTGTGAGCAGCTGCAGGCAGCGATGTGATTGAGCAGCATTTATTGCTCAAGTAGCTTCTCTGTACCCCGTGGAGAAAGATGTTGAGCAGGGCAGAAGCGTCCTCTAAGCTAGCCGTGATCTCTGGGCTGGGATTTAGACCACACTGGATCAAGATATGTTAAGGGTCTATGACCAAAACCAGATGAACAGCAAAAAGAGATTTCAGATCTGACCTGTGGAGTTACTAGCCTTTACTAGGGGTCTAAACAATCCGGAGTTCCCTGTTCCCCAGCCTTAATGAGACTATGCAAAGTCAGTATCATAGCATTTCTAATTGAAATGTTTGTGGGGCAGTAACAGAAGAAGACATTAACTTCTGTGATGACTTTTAGATCTAAATTCTTGGAAACTGGAGGAATTTTTTAATTTAAAAATACCATTTGTAAAATAGGGCAAATGAGTTGTAGAACTGCTTAACCTTGAGGTTATATTTGGTAATTGCAGGAAAACTCAGCTGCATTTCTTTCAAAGGTCAGAATATTCTTGCCCTATTTAAAGAATGAAATTGGTTTTATCTTTGGTACTGCATCAGAGGTGCTGCTGCAAAGGTGATATTTAATTATTGCCTGTAGATCTGCCATTTTCTGTGAGAAGAAGAAAAGGCTTTGTTTATCTTAAATGCATTTCTTCTAGCCACGCCTTACCTGTTTTAGCAATTAACTTCTCTCTTCCCAGCCTTATTAAAAATCCACCCAGCCTGTAGTGCCTTCTCTTTCTGTCTGTGCCCAGTTTAATTGCTTCTTTTTTACAAGTTATTTTTGTTAGTCAAGTTCATTCTTTTTCAAAGCTATTTTCAAAGTTATTTTTGAACAAATAACTACTGGTGTTTGACAGGCACAGCACATTTTTGGGAAGGATTTGCTATAGAACTGTCTTCCTGTCATAAAATGAGGGAGTGTAAGTACGTGGGTGTGTATTCATCTATGTTTTCATCTATGTTTTCATCATCGTCTGTTTGCATATGTTGGCCTTCTTTCTGTGGGTCTCAAAATCTATGTGTTGGAGTTGCTATTTCCTGGCCATACAGGTGTGTTGTGAAGATAAATTCCTTCACATTAAACCTGTGCAATGTGAGAGGGGAGTAAAAAAGTCCCTGCTCAGTGTAGCAATAGGTTCAGGAGCTGTTAAGAATTCATGTTGATTAAAAAGAAATATTAGAGTGCTTGCTCTTCTGCTGGGCAAAACAGGTGGGGAGAACAGCATGTGGTCATGTAATTAAAATCTACCATAATGCGTACCCATGAGGTCACCAAGCAACATTAATTCTGGTATAGCTTGAATTGGGAGTCTACAAGCGAAGGCTTGGTTTGTGCTGTCTGTGAGAAGGGATGCTTTTGACTCCGGAATCCAAAGCTAGTAGTTGTATAAAGGACAATGCTGCTGTACCTCCATTTTGTGACAGTGTTAAGGAGTGGGCCTGGTAAAAAGAAAGTCACGGTAGCCATTAATATTTCATGTAATACTAAAAAATCAAAAGTCCTCTTCACTAGTGTGCATTGGCTGGCCAAAGGGCTTGAGTTAGCTCTGTCCAAGATCTCCCATTTCATTGAAATCCTTGTGGTAAATGTAAGGCATATGAAGACACGTTTGAGGTCAGAAATGGGGCATTAAAAGGAGCCTAGGGAATGGAGGCATTAAATCCCATTAATACTGAGTGGAATCAAATTCTCCTACGCACATCTGAGAGTCCCAGGCTTGTATCCTACAGGCATTCTGGTGTGTGTACTTTCATGCATGAGGTTCTCCTGAAAAAGGGGGCAAGGCACATGCATGAGATTTGAGGGATTAGCAGCAAACTTCAGGCTTTCACTTTGAACTTCCCAGTGGTTTTCTTAACCTTCTAGCTGTATTTGATCATATTCAACTTACTTATTTTGTTCTAGTGCAAAAAATACTCAAACCCATCTCTGTCTCTCTTTCAGTTCTATGTTGGATGTTAATTGTTACAGGCAAATAAGGTCTTGACCTGGCAAATATGCACATGCTTTGCTGTATGTGCATGATTAACTCTTTTGAAGTGAAGTAGATTGAGCCTTGGATATTGTGACTTGACAGAACTCCTTGAAGTGCATGCACTCAGGCTGATGTACAGGTGGTGGGGGTTTAGCTCCACAGTGTTCACGGAGTTCAGTTAGAGGCATGGAGGGAAAAAGGATAATTTCAGAGTCAAGACCTAGTGGAATTACAGGCAGCAAGAGAAAAATATTTGAATATTAATCAAATGGGACTTTGTTTACTTAATAGGAATGATAAAATGGTTTTTAAAGCAGCATTTATTTTTTATCCTGACATTTTGAGCCATAGGATCTATTAACTCTTTTCAAAGGGTTGTGAGTGGTAACCAGGAAAAGCAAGATTTAATTTTGTTATGTACTGATATGCCTTTCTCCTGGAAAATTGTCAGAGGACGTCAGATTGAAAGGGTTCCGAATTGTCATGGCAGAGCAGTGCTTCCTGACTGGAAAGGTGGGAGAATGTTACAGGGACTTGTGGGACTTGACCTGAGAAAATACGCTCTGTGAGACCTGACCAGCACTGTGTAAGGGCCCTGTAGTGCCTCTGTGATGCTGCTTTGAAACAAGGAGGGCCAAATGTGCTCTTGCAGCCCAGAAAGCCAACTGTGTCCTGGGTGGCATCCAAAGATGTGTGGCCAGCAGGTAGAGGGAGGTGATTCTGCCCCTCTGCTCTGCCCTCGTGAGACCCCACCTGCAGTACTGCATTCAGCTCTGGGGCCCCCAGCACAAGAAGGACATGGAGCTGCTGGAGCGAGTCCAGAGGAGGGCCGCGAAGATGATCCGAGAGCTGAAGCACCTCTGCTATGAAGACAGGCTGAGAGAGTTGGGGCTGTTCAGCCTGGAGAAGAGAAGGCTCCAAGGTGATCTTATCACAGCCTTTCAATACTTGAAGGGGGCTTATAAGAAAGATGGAGAAAGACTTTCTACCAGGGCCTGTAGTGACAGTACAAGGGACAATGGTTTTAAACTGAAAGGAGGTAACTTCAGATTAGACATAAGGAAGAAAGTTTTTCACAATCAGAGTGGTGAGGCACTGGGAGAAGTTGCCTGGAGAAGTTATGGATGCCCTGTCTCTGGAAGTGTTCGAGGTCAGACTGGATGGAGCTTTAAGCAACCAGATCTAGTGGAAGGTGTCCCTGCCCATGGCAGGAGGCCTGGACTAGGTGATCTTTAAAGGTCCTTTCCAACCCAAACTATTCTGTGATTCTAATGCATCAGTCTGAGGTTGTTGGATTCAGCCAGTCTTATTGTGGCATTTCCAGCACCAAAACCAGGGTAAAGATGAGTGAAGACAAAGAGGAGCCAGCGGCAGCCCGGGTTTGAGGCAGAGGGACAGCAGGCAGCCGGCAGGAGCTTGATGGGGCCAGCTTTGGTCTTAGGTAAGTGATGAAACGTTTGGGCTGGAGGTTTAACATCTTGCCTGCATGGTAGATTATCCCAGCAGAGGGCATCCCAACGCTGTTGGAACTCAGCTCACAGGGTGTGCTGCAGGCTTTTGGGTAGTGCATTAGTATGCTTTGGATACAGCATTATCACACTTTGTATGCTGTGTCGCGTGTTATGGGTGGTGGTGTTGTTCCAAGCCCACGCAGATCCACAAAGGCTCAATTAGCGATAGGATGCGAGGGTGTGCATTTACATTAGGTTCAATGGTGTAATTAGACATAAATTGAGATCTATGAATAATTTACAGAGTTTGATAGAGGAGGAATGAAAATTAAGTGAGGAAAGAAGTAAGTTTCTATGTCTCAGTTCAGTGTTGTTCTTTGAGTATTTTAAAGCTGTTTTGGCATAGTCTTGTTGATTGGCTGTTGTCTTGTAAAGCTTTCAGACGTTAATTTGTTATTTATGATTGAAATTCATTGCGTATTAAACATCTTTCAGAAATCAGACTTGATTTTTTTTTTTCTGAGTGGAGGATAATACTGTATATTCTTTTGAAAAAGTACCAGTGAACTCCTCACTGCCCTTAAATTTGTGCTGAGACAGTATTTTTGGGAGGGGCTCTGGTATCATACCCTGTTCAGAGTGCTACTGGGACCTAGCAAACTAGATATGTACAGCAATTCAGAACTTCCAGAACTGCTTTCCTCTCTCTTTTTGGGGTGTCTTTCAATGGGAGGATGGTCTTATTCTGGGAACATCTCTGTTACCATCACTTTAGTGCTTGGCTGCTGAGCTGCATGTCAGGTCCTGCATGCGGAGGACAGTGTTGTTTACATTTAGCTGTGTTGCTTACAGGAGACCAATCTAAAATTCTTAGTTTCTATTCACCTGTCGACTCAGGTTTGGTTTTGTGCTTCACATCTTTCTTGTAGAGCTGCTTGCTTTTTGTGACTGAACACTGAACTCATAGTAAACGTTGTACAGCTGAAATGCAAATATTTTTCAGATCAGCTAGCTTGGTTCATAATTGCTGCAAAAGGCAGGGAAGCATGAAAGCTAAGGTGGTTGTTGCTCTTTATGCCTATGTCTGATTTAGTAAACTAGTTGAGGTGTGCCAATGTTAGGACCTGTTCTCTGGCCGGAAGGACAGCTAGCACAGTGGTTGCAGCCATAGTATGAAACTTTCTTACCATCTGCAATGGGCATTGCATGGTCTTTGCACCAGGCTGTATCTTGGGCTGAAAAATTATCTGGAAGAGCGCTAGCTGCCCAGAGTCAAAACAGTGCTGGACATTGTCAGGTTCAAGTAAACGCTATAAGGTTTCTGATAGACACTCTCAGATTCCAGTGCCTGGGAATATGCCCTGATACTGTTTAGTTTGCTAATATGGATTCAGTTTATGGATTCTGGGTTAATCTATAACTTGTTTCCCTACTACTTCTGTGGTTTTTGTTGGATTGACGTTCTTTTATCACTGTATTGGTGGAAAAACTCTGCCTTCTTCTGTCCCAAGACATGATGCTTGAGTCTCTCCGTCTTTTATGTTGCAGTATTAGTTAGGATTCACTCCACTAGAGTTCACAAAAGCTGGACCCTAGTAGAGGATCTGTGCCATACTCATTCCACTAGCACTATTTTTTTTGATTTTTTTTTTTACTCTAACTCTGCATTCATTGAAACACATTCGTAGGTATTGAGGCCATGGAGGGCCATGATGAATGTATTGTCTATATAATGCCATAGACCTGGAGCATGATAGTCACTCTAAGTTGCACCTGTAACGTCATTCAGAGATAGTGTTTTGTTTGTGTGCGGTTTTTGTGTGTTGATTTTTTAAGGTAATGAATTCAAAACTTAATGTAGCATAGAAGCCACACCATTTCTAACCAACGTTCCCATGGTTATTGCTTTCCTTTTAATATCTTGGGCCTTACTTCTTCTCAGGCTTCCTGTCTTTTTCTGCAAAAGGAATGACTCCATTCATTGTTGGTATATTCTCCCTGTATGAGAACCTGTAGGCCGTGGCCAAGTTGTTGAGTTTTATTTTCTCATGGATAAACTGAATAGTTAGGGGTCAGCTGAGGTCTTTGCTCTTTGGTTTTTGTATTAGATGCTCTTCAGGGCAGCAAATGTTTCAGTTTTTTAGACCTTAACAGCCAGAAGGGCATTGAAGCCCACGAGGGCTGAGAAATGGGTCTTCTGGCTTAATGGTGGAAAGATTCAGGCTGCTTTCTTCATCAGATGCCTACTTGATTGGGCTTCTCTTCCCTCCTGTCTCTCAGAGCTGAGCATCATGTAGCTCATTTTTAGTGGACAAGGATTTTTACTGTCAGAGAAAGGTATCTGGAGCAGTGACCTTCCCAGTATTTCATTTAATGATGAGTCAGACAAATGGATTCTGGGTATCTGGCAATGAACTTCAATTCCATTAGGGAGCAGATTTTAATAATTAGAAGACCAGCAACAATGTTTAGGGATTCACTGTGTAGATAACAGGCTTTTACTAGGCTATATGTAAAGCTCTTTAGTAATACATGTTTTTCCACTTCAGTTTCCAGGGTTAATGTTTCACCGTGCTTAAACTGCTGCTTTGCTGCTCATGTCGCCCTGGTAAAGAAACTTACCCAGGCAGCATGTTTCATTGCAGGTTTCCAAGAAGTACAGTGAGATAGAGGAGCTCTACCAGAGACTGGCGGCACGATATCCACAGGCTTCTCTTCCACTCTTGCCTAGAAAAGTTCTCTTCGTGGGGGAATCTGACATCTGTGAACGAAGAGCTATGTTCAATGATATCATGAAATTCATCTCAAAAGATGAGGATCTAGCAACGAGTCCTGAGTTACTGGAATTTTTAGGTAACGAAAAGATGTGAGTGTCCCCTCTCCCATGAATGTGCTTCATAAAAGCATTATTAAGTTGTTGACTGAGGTAGTCAGAAACTAGAGAGCACCAGAATAAAGGCTATCACTTGGAACTATCCTCTTGTGCATCTACAGTGCTGCATAGTCATGTTTGCTAGTGTTTTCTCCTCTTCTCTGTGGACATCTGCCTCATTCAGAAGCGTTGATACCACAGTGTTCACTTTGAAGGTATTTATCCCACCGTCTCTGATTTCCCTTAGGCACAGAACTAAGCTGTGATTCAGAACACGTAAGAACACAGAAGTTTAAAAGGCTAAATAATCATATATTGTCAGCGGAGAGTTGCATCCTAAAGGGACAGCGCGAGGTCTCCCTTAGTGAACAACTGTTCTGTGTTTTATCTGTTTTTCATTCTTAATAAAATTGCTAGGCCTTGCTGAAGCGGATCCTAAAGCAAATTATTGACCCTGAAAAAGATTTGAATAAAAGGCAGATTCTTTATCAGTTAAACCCGTTCTCTAGCCTTTTTTTTTTTTTTAAATTTTTCCTTAGCCTCATTCCACCTCTTGTTGCCTCTTCGAGTGATTCATATAGTTCCTTTCTTATGTTCCTTAGGCATAGCAGGGAGTCATTGAATGATTGGAACAGATGGACTCTCTGTTCTTAATTCAGCCAAGAGCTGCTGAGCGGGGAATAGTCCAGCCTGGTGGTGTGCAGGATTCTCAGTGTAACGCTAGTTTTAAGGGAGTGAAGTTGCAAGGTGCTAGCAAGTCACCATGTGCAAACAGCCGATTTTGCGAAAGTGTCAATTGTGGCCAGATTAGAAGATTAGAAGTTCTGTAGGACTGGCAGCTTCCTAAAGTCAAAGGGGGAAAAACTGTATAATATTTGGCAAAATTATTTTGCTAATAAGATTTTGGATTATTTTGTTTTCTTTTTTCCCTGGCAGTGTTCTCTTGAAAGTAGACCCCTTGCCCAGAGAATTCAGAGTTCATGCTGATTAACCTTTGCGTGCTGATTAACCCAACCATGGTGCACATGTCTACAGCTGAATTAGTCTGGACTGTGTTTATACTGTGGACAATTGAATGCATGTAACGTGACCTGTTCATCAAAGTCTACCCTATAATAATATGTGTCACCCTACCAAACCAGGTGGAATTCAGTACATATGCTGCAGATCGTCACTGTAGCTTTGTACGCTTTCCTTACAGATGCTGGAGACATAGTCAATATATTCAGTGATGTTTAGGGAGAATCAACATGGTAAAACACAAACGACTGTGGGGATAAGATAAGCAGCATCCTAACAGTCACTGCCTAGCCTGACCAACGCTCTCTTGCCTATAAGGGGAGCATAAGACCACTTGCTCAGTGTAAACACCCACATTTAGTCAATGAAGTCTGCTCTGGGGGATTTGGCAGATGCAAGCATGAAAAGCTGGGTGAGTCTCCCATGCCATGTTACTTTAACAGTCAAAAGGATGAAACCATGAATTTTATCCTTCATGGTTTTCACTAGCCTATTTTTATCTAGTCTCACTGTTTTAAATTGCTTTCCTGAACATCCAGAGACTCCACAGCAAGGAATAGTTCTCTGCTCATTCTCCTGGAGAACCAAAAAAAAAAGTGGACTTTATCTCAACTAGCTATGTGCAAGTTAGCTACCTACTTCTAAGTGGAGTATTTACAGCCTCCCTGCAGCCAGTGGAGAGAAATAGCCACTTCAGAGGGCAACTCCTCCTCAGACAGCTTTATTTGGATGGGATGAATCACCATGTGGAAATTCTGTTGTTTCTATTGACTATAGAAGGAACATAAATAAGCAGATTAGACATGTGCTGCTATGTCTCAGATAAAGTTCATTTCCTCTGTCTTTCTCTTCTTAGCTACTTTAAATCAGTAAACAGATCAGACACATAATGACACATCAGTGCGTAGAAGGGACAGTCAGGAATGTTGAAAGAGTTTCACAAAAGCTGATTGTGTCCTTCATTCCCCAAACAAAACCATCAGGAACAAATGCAAGGTATTAAATGAAACACAGTTGTTACCCGTGTACTCAATTTTGCATCTGTTATTGTATTTTGCAGGAACAAAATCTACTAGTGCCATTGACTTCAAGAGTAAAAACATTCCTGATGACAAGGAGAAAGAAGGCGAAGAAAATGACACATTGGATTTTTTCAGAGAGGAGAAGACATCTGACTTAATCTCACAGCTTTCATCAGTGGAAAATGCCAGAAAAGGGGAGAAAAAAGAAGAGAACGAGGAGGAAGAAGAGGAAGAAGATTTAGACCCTCTTGGTATAATCAGGTATGTCTGATAGTGCCTTTGTTGTTTAGTTTTTAGTCTAGTTTTCTAAACAAATAAAGCTGTTCTATGTCAAAGTACATTCATCCCAACATTTTATAACATCAGGCACTTTCAGATGAATTTCTCAGAGGAGGAAGGGCCTCTGCAGTTCATGAAGGGGGTGCCTTGGTTGAGGGAAGAGACTTTCTAGTGTCTCTTTAGTGCGTTCCTCAGGAAATCCAAGTGACGGAGAGACATTGTGAATGCCTTGATAACAGTATCAGCTACAGTAGACACTGTACTGTACAGTGCAGGGTCCCACCACAAAACAAAGCCACCAGGGTCCGTTGGATGTGCCCCTCTGGAGTACACTGGTGTTTACAGTGTCTGGAACTGCTTCTGAGCTTACTCGTGTCTACAGGGAGGTAAAGTTATAGCAGCGTAAAGACCAAAAGAGCCAACACTTCAGTCGTGATGTTCGCAAATAGGCTTTTCTTTCCTTCTTCCCTTATCTGAAGGTGTCACATGCTAAATGCCAATAAGGCATAAGCAACAACAGCTTGAGAAACAATAATGGAATCAAAGCTTCCTGATTTTAGTGTCTGGTTTGCTTACCTGTCCAATAATTTTCAAACAGTTACTTTCTTCACTTCAGGATGGAATTTCTTACTCAGGTCCCAAAAACATTTCTGGCTACTGAAGCCTGGAAACAAATTTAGTTTCTGTGTCTGGGATCATGAGTAGTGAATACTTTTTTTAGGGTATCTCAAGCTTTAGATGCCCAAACAGAAAAGTCTTAGCTGTTCTTGATATTCAGTAAGCACTGACTGACTCAACTGAATTGTTTCAGCCACCCACAGTCACCAGCCACTAATAAATGTTCTTTATCTTGAACTCAGACAGTGCTTTCCAAACGCTTCTTCATAGCAATAAGCAGTAACTGATAGTAACAAGCCAGAGCCCTCTCTTGGGGTTTCCCAATTACCTTGAATCATTTCCAAGGGTATCATTCACTTCAGGCTCTAAGCCGGAGTCTCCCACGTTAAGTCGGGTCAACTACAACAACTAATACTGGAAGCGCCATTTGGACTTTGCTCCTGCTATTATAATCGTGTGTAATTATTGATGTCCAGATACTGTCCTTTTTACTTGAGTATTTAATCCTTTATGTATCACCAGAAAACTTTAAATATTATTCTCTTGACAAAGCACGTGCTTAATTACTCAGCATCAAAATTATTCTTTTGTTGAAGAAGAGTTTAAAAAAGTTAGATAACTATTTATAATAAGAAGTTAGATAAAGCCCACAAAATGGTCCTTAGTTGGTAAGTTTACAAAAGAAGCTATCCTTTTTTGGATAGGAAAATAATCTATTGGGTTAGCAAATGCAATGTTGTATTTTCTGACTTACAACAAGTATAAACTGTAAAGAATTTACTGTGCCAGAACAAGCAAGAAGTTTGCTTTTCTGCTCTGCACGGTTTGACATAGCTTTTGAAGGTCTTGATTATTTTGATCTTTTATTATATTGCAGGATGGCAAGATCTGGTATTTAATCCTCATTTAGTTTATTGCTTCCATTCCTTTCGAGAACAGAATTCTTACTGAATCAGAATAACTTAATTTAAATAAGAAGTATGGTCTTTACTGGTAGAGCTGCAGCATGACATGTTATGCAGTCAGATGTTTTTCACTCTAAACCAGTGATTGGCTATCCAGAAAAAAATCTCCATATGTATGTAGTGGAAGGTGTCCCTGCCCATGGCAGGGGGATTGGAACTAGAAGATCTTTGAGGTCCCTTCCAACCCTAGCCATTCTATGATTCTTTTTATAAATCTCACAAGGCAGAAACATGAAAATGCGAATCCTGAATCTGATTTTACATTGTCTCTATTCTCCTGTAACTCACCTTGCTTCCATGGAAGATATTTTCAATTCACATCAATGGAGATCAGATCGGACATAAGCATCGTATCCCAACGTTATGCCATCTAGTTATAGATGTCTAGGTAAGAGGCCAAAGGCAGGAGCTTAGCTGTCAGTGGATGAACATTTCTTGGGTGACCATTTTAGAGAGTCTTCTATGCCCGTTAATATGTTAGGTGCTTACATGCTTTAAAGAGGGAGTTTGCAAGCCTCACAGCTTTGTTGCTTCAGGTGTGCTCAGATGTTACTTTGGGATGGGAATGAATAGAAATGGAGGTGATGCAGACTGGATAAATATGTTTAGTAATAAATTGCTTCCTAATGCATAGTAAATTCAGGTTAAAAAAAAAAATCCACCATCTTTTTCCCTGTGAAAAACCTTCAAAAAGATGTAAAGTCAGCACTGAAACAAGGCAGTCCATTCCACACAGTGTCAGTGGCCAGGGTGCTTTGAGCAGCAGAGCTCTGACCTGGATTGAATCATGTGTTTGGCATAATCTTACAGGCTTTTTTCTTTCTGGAAGAGGATGAAACTGCTTCAGGAGCACAGGCCTCCATATGTCGTTAACACGCTTCATTTGGTAACAACTTTTACTCCTGGGCCAGAGGGCTGTGACTTGGATTTGGCCCAGCACTGCTGCCGTGCTGCTGGACAACCAGATATCCAGTTAAATATACTGGCCTTGGGGGTAAAATGCTAAACTGGAGTCTATTTTCTGGTTTTGTATTGCTGATGATCATCCCGGTGGAAGCTCATAATGGTCTAGTTCCTTTTGCCTGGAAGAGACATCCCAGTTGTGCTGATTTTCTTCCTTACATTCGAGGCTGTGTATGAGTTCCTCTTTCATGTTCATGTCTGGTGGGCAACTCACTTGCCAATTCTGCTCTTGAGCTTTGGTGGGTATAATGATGGTCTAGAAACTTTGTGTTTCTGTGCTATATGATTCTCAAGCCCAAAAGCTTTCTTTCTGTGTTAGCAGGATGATCTTGGACCATGTCTAGGATTCTTAACAACAGAAAGACTGTGGGTTTTTTTCTTGTCCAAATCCGGGACGTTTCAAAACCCGTAATATTTCTGATGAAGTTTTCAGCTTTTAACACCACATCTCCTTTCCCCCCCTTCCCCCAGGCCTAGTTCTTCCTAGAATAAGAAGTGTTCAAAATTAGGTTACGTTTGTGGGGTGCATTGTTGAAATTAATTTCAAATATGTTTTCCAGGGATGTATCATCTCCTCTTTCTCACTGTCTGTCTTGATAATTTGGAGTATTGTTATTTCACTGTATTGTCACCAGTTGCTCTGCAAGTTTTTCTGGACATTTGTAGAAATCTTTCCAGATTTGGACAAAATATACAGATCCTATAAGAACAAGCACTCCTATACTAAGATGATCCTTCAACATCAGCTATGCAGCAGGAAATGAGTATAGTCTACTCACTTTTGAAGCAGTGGCACATTTCTAGCTTTGTTTCATTTTTCTTGGCAGTCTAAGTGTGTAGTGACTTTGAAGTCACAAGGCTCTAATAGCCAAACTATTTTTTTTAAAGTTAGCATCTCTTTTTTTCTTTCTTTTTTTTTTTCTGGTAAGTGGCAATCATTAGAATATCCCTTTGTTAAACTGTTTTAATACCTTTATAAATGAGAAATCAGATATGTATTTTACTCCACATAGTAGGGACAGTATTGGATACATTGACTTATCTTTGTCTCTATTGTTCTCCTTAAAGTGAGTGCAGTACGGCTCCTTATCAGTCTTCTCTAAATCCATCTATCTCAACGTTTGCAGTAACATATATTTAAGTGCTCAGTAGACTACCATGGCACATTGACAATATACCTGAGTTTTTAGAGGTGCAATATCTTTTAACACTGCTGTCTTTTAAAGGATTTTCCTGGTAAATTACAAAATATTACTATGTGGCTAGTCAGGATTGCAATGCCTTCAGGAATGAAAGAAGCAAGAATACTAGATCTGTAAGAAGCTAATCCTGTAAAGGGAAAGGCATGGAAGACAGCCACAAGATGGAGGAGCTCTTCACTTGCAATTAGGATATTCTTGATGGTACTGTTGAAAATTCTGCAATGGAAAAAGGTGTCATTTGCCAGTGATTTGAGAGAGGATTTGCGTGGAGTGAAGAGAGCTGTGTGAAGCCGGAATCCAGAGCAGCATCAATGCTAGTCAGCTCAGTTGTGCCAGGACGTGTTGGCTGACTCTGTGCAGTATCTCACTGTGTCTATACCATTATGTTCTCCTGTCCTCCAAATTAGGTTTGCTACATCCAGAATGCCCACTGGAAATGGCTGCTGGCCTGTGCTGCCTCATGGGCTGTGATGAGGATGGTTTAGGAGAAGGCAGATTGTCTCATGCCAGGGGAGTACCAGGTTCTATCCTAACACCTGAATTGTTGAACTGAGCTCCTGTGCTCAGGCCCAGGGTGTGAAGAAATTACTAAAATAAGTAGTATGGTCTTGAGCTCCTCTGTGCATAGGGATTAGCTTTCTGCTTCATGCTGTGTTTGCTCCCAGTCTGCCCTGAGGGTTCCCTAGGGTTTTGCTTTTCTGTAGGGAATTCAAGTGACCAGTTGTGGATTTTTTCACTTGACCAAGCAGGATCAAGTTAGGCATTTTTAGCTCTGAGTCTTAAAACAATTTAAAAAACATATTATGGTAACTGAATTGAGCTTTGTCTTCTCCCTCTATGGATGCACTTTGCAGTTTTATTGTTTGTAGGTTGAAGCCAAGAGCTTTAGCATCTCTCTCCTCTCTCTTTGTAGTTAAAACAACTCAATTTAGTACTTGTGTTCAGTTTACTCCAATAAACCTGAGACAGCAGCTCATTAAAATGACTCAGAACCAGCTCCTCGGAACAAAGCAGCAATAATTTTGCAAAAGGAGCGTGACTGCTTCATGGGTTAAAGCATGCAGCAGCCCTTTCACTGCATGCATTTCTTCAGCTGCAATTAACTTCTGAGGTAATATTTGTTCGCCAGCTTGGGAGAACCCACCTTTTCCTGTGCTTTCCTTTCCTGTCTTCATCCGCTCTCTGCAGCCCTTGCAGGAGCCTCTCCTCCACACATGGTTCCCTCCCTTCCGTC